CTCTGCGCGGGGCGGGGCGGGGACGGCGGGCTCTCGACAAGGGCCCCGTCGACGACGACGACGATGATGACGATGACGACGACGACGACGGCGGCGACGACGACGACGACGGCGATGCCGACGGCGGCGGCGACGACGACGACAGAGGACGACGACAACGACGACGCCGACGACGCAGAGGTGCAGTCATCGACGCCGGGCGCCTCTGCGCGGTCGGCGGGGGGCCATGCCGCGTCCTTGGAGAGTCATGGCCAGGGCCCCGTCCACTGGGATTTTGATAAACCCGGACGTTGGCGCACCCAGGAAAATTCGCCGACGCAGTCGGCGTGTACGAGTGGCTCTTCGACACGAGGCCAGCCCAACCCAAACTGAAGTACGCCACCTCCTTTGAATCGTTGCCGTAACAAGGGAGAGCGATCAAAGAAGGATGATCGAACAATATCATAATCACGTAGCAGGGCCCCTTCCCTGTGTCCCTTCCCCGCCATGGGTGGGGGGGTCCTGGGGGGAAACCCAAGGGGGGTTGTCCTGGGGGGGGTCCGGGGGGTGGGTCCGGGGGCACCCTGGGCGGTCCTCGTGTGGAGGAGGAGAAGGAGGAGGAGGACAAGGGGTGGTCTCCCTGTCAGCAACGGATCTCAGGACCCCTCCCCCCGCCGGCTCCAGCCCCAGCCCCAGCCTTTGCCCGGCCCCAGGTCCCAGCCAGGCCCTGGCCCCGGCCCTGGCCCTAGAGCAGCCCTGGCCCCAGGCCTGGCTCTGGCCCCAGCCCAAGACTGCCCGGCCCCGGCCTGGGCCCAAGCTCCGGTCCCGGCCCTGGCCCCAGCCCTGGCCCGCTCCCGAGGAGACAGTCGGCTCTCCTCCTCGTCGTCGTCGTCCTCTTCCTCCTCCTCCTCCTCCTCCTCCTCCTCCTCCTCCTCCTCCTCCTCGTCGCACCCCGAGGCCAATCGGAGAGCGGGCCAGGCGTTTCGCCGTAGACTTCCTTACTGTGATAACCTTGATGCTTCAAAACTAGCACCAGTTTTTCTCACATGGAGGTCGGGTGGTTTTCAAAATGTGGCTCTCGCCTCAGCGCCGCGCACACTAGTTCTTCCCAGTTGCAACAGAAAGTTGACGGATTGAGGGCGGGTGGTTCTCAAAATGTGACTCTCGCTCGAGCGCCGCGTACATTTCAGCAACAATTGCAAGAGCTTCACGGGTTGAGGGCGCGTCGTTTTCAAAATATGGCTCTCGCCTCGGCGCCCCGCGCATTCGTTTCAAACATTTGCAACAGCTTCACGGATTGAGGGCGGGTGGTTCTCAAAATGTGGTTCTCGCCATCGCGCCGCGCACATTCGCTTCAAAACGTTGCAAGGGTTTCACGGGTTCTCATGGGTAACGTACCAGAAATGGTTTGGAGCGCTCAGGATTGTCAGGGCCCAACAGTTACGCTGATTCGCGGTGTTGAAATCCCAGGAACGGCATTCTGGCATTATTCAAGTGTTGAAGATCCCAGGAATTGTGTTGAAATCCTCGGGTTTTCACACGGTTGTCTCCCAACGGAACACTTCCCTCAGTGGGAATGAATCCTTTAACGGGCCTGTGAAGAGGGAGCTCGGAGGGAGGGTGTTTTCCAACATCGTTGAAGACTCTTGGGTTTACACTGGTCTTCGTGGTTCTCCTGCTCCTCCTCCTCCTCCTCCTCCTCCTCCTCTTCTTCTTTCTCCTCCTGCTCCTCCTCCGCCTCCTCCTCCTCTTCCTCCACATGCCAGTCCTTTTTATTTATAGATAATTCCTCCCTGCAGTCGGGGCGTTGGCCAGAGGCGTGCTAAGATCTCCGGTAACTGGTTAACAATTCTCTAGTTCGCGCGCGCGGGGCGGCCCCTGGGGGTCCCCGGACGAAAAGTACCCCGACCGACCCCCGGGCGATCCCCGGGAGACTCCCCCAGAGCGCTCCAGGAGCGCTCCATGAGCGCACCAACAGGGCTCCGAGACGTCCCCGAGAGCCCCAAGAAAGGCCAAGAGGCCCCCAAGAGGCCCCCAAGATGGTACACGAGGGGTCCGACATGCCACAAGATCGCTCCAAGACGCCCAAGATAGCCCCCAGACGCCCCAAGAGGCCTCCAAGAGCACTCCCAAGAGGGCCCCCGGAGGCAAAATTCATTGTTTTTCCTTAGGTTTTTGAGAGATTTTGGAGCTTCCACCTTTTCGGCTTCCCGACGCCCCAAGACGGCCCAGAGGCCCCCAAGCTCGCCCCAAGAGGGCCCAAGAGGCCCCCAAGAGGGCCCCAAGATGGCCCAAGAGGGCTCGAAGACGGCCCAAGAAGCCTCCAAGACGGTCCAAGAGGGCCCCAAGATCGCCCCCAAAGGGGCCCCAGAGAGGGAACACGAAACAATATTTCGAGCCCTCGGCCCTAAGAAGCCCCTACGAGGCCCCAAGAGGCCCCTATGAGGCCCCAAGAGGCCCCCACGAGGCCCTCAGGAGGCCCCCAAGCGTCCCCCAAGCGGCCCCAGGAGGCCCCCCAAATGCCCCCCCGAGCGCCCCAGGAGTCCCCCAAGCGGCCCCAGGAACCCCCAAAGCGCCGCATTGACACCAGGCCCTCGGGCAAACGGCAGACATGAGACTGTATGGGCCGGCGGAATGAGCGAAGCGATGAATTTATAGATAATTCCTCCCTGCAGTCGGGGCGCTGACCTAAGGAACCCTAAATAAGGAACGAGGCTCCTGTTTTCCAGAAGTTGAACTTCGATTTCCCTTCGAAAGCCTGAGGAAAACGTGGGGCAAACTGTGAAGCAATTAAGGAACACGGAGCCCCTACCCAACGAAAAGAGTTCCTTCTTCAGCGCCCCGACTGTAGCGCGCCCCGAGGCCAATCGGAAGGACGGGCTGGGCCTTTCGCCTGAGACTTCCTCGCCATATAAGACCCCGAAGCTGAACAAATGACATTAGCTTCGCACATGGAGGGCGGGCCGCTTCCAACATGTGGCTCTCGCTTTCGCGCCGCGCACGCTCGTTTTGAACAATTCCAGAGTTTTACGGATTGAGGGCGGGAGGTTTACAACATGTGACTCTCGCCTGAGCGCCGCGCACACTCGTGCTAAACATGTACAGTAGTTTCACGGATTGAGGGCGGGTGGTTTTGCCGCCTTACAAAACTGTCAAAATTCACGGGTTGAAGGCGGGTCGTTCTCAAAACGTGGCTCTCGCCTGAGCGCCGCGCACATTCGTTTTTAGATGTTGCAAGAGTTCCGTGGCTGACTTACCAGAAATGGTGTTGTCAGGATGCAACTCTTACGTTGAGCCGCGGTGTTGAAGTCCTAGCGCAATTCGGGATCGTCGAGACGCAACAGACAATATTATCCATAGCGTTGAACTTCCGAGAATAGTGTTTTGGCACGCTTCGGGATCTTACAGGGGTTGTCTCCCAACGGGGCACTTCCCTGAGTGGAAATGAAGCCTTCTAGGGGCCTATGAAGAAGGAGCTTGGGAGGAGGGTTTATTCCAACATCATTGATGAGTCTTGGGCTTATACTGGTCCAATTCCTCCTCCTCCTCCTCCTCCTCCTCCTCCACCTCCCACTCCCCCTCCCCCTGCCCCTCCTCCTCCTCCTCCTCTTTCTCCTCCCTCCCCTCCTCCACCTGCACCCCCCCTTCCCTCCTCCTGCTTCCCTCCTCCTCCTCCTCCTCCTCCTCCTCCTCCTTTTCCTCCTCCCTCTTCCCTCCACCGCCCAACACATGTCCCGAGCCTGTAGCAAGGTCATCAGCTCGTCGTTGTTGTTGGCGTCGTGGTCGTCGTGGTCGTCGTCGTCGTCGTCGTCGTCGTCCTTCTGGGTCGGCGGCACCGGCCCTAAGGCCTTCACACTATGACGGGCCCAAGGGGGAGAAATATGAGTTGGCATCTCGAGCCTTCCCCCAACGTGTCTCCAAGAGATCCCCAGAGGCCCCCGAGGCGTCCCCAAGAGGCCCCAAGAGGTCTCCACGAGGCTCTCAAGAAGCCCGAAAGGGGCCGTCAAGACGCCCCGAAAAGCCCCCCAGCTGCCCTCCAAGAGCTTCCAAGAGGCCCAACCAGGACGTTGGCGCACCCAAAAAACCTGCGGCCACGGGTCGAGTCACTCTCCAGGATTCCTTCGCTGCAGCTGGGTCTCGCCAGAATTCTGGCAGAAACCCTCGGTCCGCCAGCGATGACGTCGAGACGTAGATCTGCTCGTCGTCTGCAGCGCACAAGGACATATTAGCTTCAATTCTGAATCACGCTGGGTGCAGAACGCTGTATCTGGAAGCGCTCGCATTGTCCTCGAACATTAGCATCGGCCTATCTGCTCGGGCACGCACGCGGTCTCAATACATGCGCGCGTGGTGTGTGCGTGTGTGTGTGTGTGTGTGTGTGTGTGTGTGTGTGTGTGTGCACGTGTGTGGGCACGCGATACCATGTTTGATGCGGCCTTCCGCACAGACTGATACTTGTTCAACGCCATCTGTTTTGCATCATCTTCGGCCCGCATCTTTCCAGATCTCGAGCATTCTGAGGTCGTTTGGGCTTCAAACTCGAATGCAGTCTCAAATCTGGCACCAACCGCATATCTACATCTGAATCCACCGCAATGGTCACATCCAAACTCATACACATATCCAGGCTCATGCGGAAGTCTGCATTCAGATCTGAACTCCGCCTCCGACGCACTTAGGCTCGGCCTCGGAACAGACTCGGATCCAGACTCAGACTCAGACCAACAGGCAAGTTCAGATCCATACCTAGTGTCAGAACCAAACTCGGTCGGATACACATATCCAGACTGAGGATCATACCATGATCTGGGTTGAGTTCGAGGCCCGAACTTAGATCCATATCTTGCAACGGCGGACACTTACATCCCTGCTCACAAACACCATGAACATTCCAACGTGAACAACAGTCCTCAAATTTCCTCGCCGAACATCCAATGTGAACCGTCTGCATTAATCTACGTCCGGGCACTCCAGAAGACACCCGGTCCAGATCTGCAAGTATGGCTACTTTTGCAAAGCGA